TAACAATATTAAAAAATAATAATTGTTACTAGGAGGTAGGAGACTATTCTTTTTTTTTTTTCCTTTACATATTTTTAAATAAAAAAACTCATTTCTTACTTTTGAAAAAGAGAATCATTTTTCTATTGGTTTCTTATTCACTAAAACAACATGAAGTTAATAGTAAATGCAACTCTTTTTTGTACATTTTCTTTTAAAAGCAATCTTTATAAAATTACCTTTTATGGTGGGGATCGGCAAACTTTGTCTGTAAAGGGCTATTAAAGGGATAGCATATATTCTCAGCTTTTGGAGCTATAAGGTCTCTGCTAAAACTACACTGCCACTGGAGTGAAAAAGCAACTGTAGAAAATACATAAGCAAACGGGTATGGTTGTGTTCCAACAAAATTTTATTTACAAAAACAGACAGTGGCCTAGATGTGGCCTGCAGGCTCTGCTTCAAACTAAGTTTCTTTAAATTAGAATAATTGTAATGCCACCTCATTCCCTCCATTCTTCCTACACTCTGGATCTATTAGAAGATAATCTGTAAGTGGATAACAGGAGCCCTAGTACAGCAGTGGTTAAAGCAGTTTGCTGCTAACCAAAAGTTGGTGGTTCAAACCTACCAGCTGCTTTGCAGGAAAAAGATGTGGAAGTTGGCTTCCATAAGGATTTACAGCCTTGGAAATCCCATAGGGTCGCTATGAATCGGAATCGACTCGATGGCAGTAGGTTTGGGTGGATATAAGGGGATAACAGTCCAGTGGTTCTTAAACATTTTGGTGTCAGGACTCTTTTAGTCTTTTAAAAATTATTGAGTACCTCAAACAGCTTTTATTAGGGTGGGTAATATCTGTTGACATTTACCATATTAGAAATTAAAAACTGACAAATTAAAAAATATTTACTGATTCATTTTAAAATAACAACTTATTAAATATTAACACATTTTTATGAAAAATAACTATTTTTCAAAAAACAAAGTTAGTGACAATGATTCTTTTTACTTTTTTTTACAAATCCGTATAATGTCTGACTGTGAAGAAGACAGGTGGATTCTCTTATCTGCTCTGGATTCAATTCGTTGTGATAAGCTGTTCTGGTTGAAGCATTTAACGAAAATCTGGCCTCACCTCAAGACATGTAGTTGGAAAAGGGAGGAATATTTTAAGAGTTTTTTCCAATCAGACTGGATATTTTACTTTGATTCTACACCAAAACTGGACAAGAGGGAGCTTCTTAAAGGTTAGATGCAATGTGAAATTTTAAACCATAATATAGTTCATTGATAACGAACTTCTCAAACTCTGAATCTTTAAATTCCATTCATCTACCTATACTTTGAATGCCTTGTTTTACTCATGCATCATTTTGAATATCATGCTTTGGTCATTTGGAAAATATTGGACCAGAGTTATGCAAATCTTTCTCAATATTGATGCATTTCATTAAAGAATACAATAAATAAATAAATCACATTCATTAGTACCACCACTGATCTCATTAGAAAAGTCTTTCCATACTTAGAAGCTGTCAAGTTCATGGTGGCAGAAATGAGTTTTCCAAAATTTTAGTTCTCACTTAGCAGCTCCAATTTTATCATTGGCAACAAATACTGTCTACTTATTTTCATTGAAGTGACAGGCTCACTTCACTCAGTTTCATGAAAATGTTTGCCAAATAGCCAGGTCTTAATAACTGTAACTTGTTTTCAGTTGTTCTTCCAAGTAAAATCGGCATCCATTAAAAAAAAAAGTGAGTAGTTCAGCTCACAGTTTAAACGACTGCAATAGGTACTTTTCCTGGAGACAATCATCATACTTCAGTGTGAAGCAAAAGGGCTTTATAAGAGGGCTTTCCATTTTGTTATGCAAAATATTAAAAAGATGCATACTCAAGGGTCAAGTTATAATAAAATTAATAATTTTACTGGTACATCAAACTCATTTTTAAGTGAAATTGGTCTTTTCTTTTTCTATAGGAGCATGGCAGTGAAGAACACAATCACTATTAGTACATTTGGGTGCCATTACCTTGGTTTGTGTTAACGCAACAGCAGTTTTGCCCATCACTGCTTTTGTACCAACAGTGCAAATGTCAATGCAGTGAAAAGAGACAAACATATCTTAATATTATTATGAAAATGGTTTTTACATCATGGACCCCCTTGAAAGGATTTCAGACACCCTCCCAGAGTTGGCAGATACATACTTTGAGAACTTCTAACACAGTTTAATATACTTATACTCATGCAAAATCAATGGTAATATACCTATCTGTGTGCAATGCCATATTGCACGAAGGGTCCTATCTTCTGTAATTTGAGCCCTTTTCTTTTTGGCTCATCTTTTTCCTTTATTAGGACAGCATGGCCTAGAAGAATTTAGATTAAAATGCACAAGACACTTTTAAAAGAGTTTTCTCTATTATTTTTTTAAAAAGAAGTTTTTAAGGAAAAAAGGACAATTCTTACAGGAAGGTAAGGTGCTAATGCTCCACAGGATTCAGCCACCAGCAGTCGTCTTTCTGGGTACTTATGATTAATCTAGAGTAAAAATAAAGAAATCAAGTATAAACAACATAGTATCCCTTCTTCCAACACAGAATTAGTTTTCACCATAAATCCTGTTACAAATACAATAAAGTTTCTTCCTTTTACACTTCTACACCCTGTGTGGCTATTCCTGGATCAGGAATAAGGGAATCAGGGAGAGTCTAAAAATGAGGTCATGGGGTCATCTGTTAAAGAAAAAAGGAAAAACAAAGATGAAAATTTGGCAAGGTGTCTAGAGATGATGGGCTTGCCTAAGACGAGGCTTTCCTTAGATTTCAGGAGAGAGTTAGGACCCTACCCTAGCAGTATTAGTATATTTTTTGGTTTGGAAAACCTACCTTCTGGATATTATAGATATACTGTATAACATGTGCCAGGAATGACTCACCATGCCCCTTTTTTACCTAAGGGATTAAGCAGTAAATTAATCAGTGATTAATCAGAGCCCTTGACTAGTGATAGGATTTTGTTTTTAAAGTAAGCTAACTTCCAACTGGCATAACAAAGTTTATTAAGAAAATATTCTGCATCTCACTTTGGTGAGTGGCATCTGGGGTCTTAAAAGCTAGCAGGTGGCCATCTAAGATGCATCAATTGTTCCTAACTCACTTGGAGCAAAGGAGAATGAAGAACACCAAAGTTACAAGGAAAATATTAGCCCAAGAGACAAAAGGTCCACATAAATCAGAGACTTCATCAGCCTGAGACCAGAAGAACTAGATGGTGCCTGGCTACCACCAATGACCGCCCTGACAGGAAACACAACAGACAGTCCCGGACGGAGTGGGAAAAAAGTGTGGAGCAGAACTCAAATTCACGTAAAAAGACCAGACTTAATGGTCTGACAGAGACTAGAGGAACCCCCAAAACTACGGCCCCCGGATACTTTGTTAACCCAGAACTAAAGCCATTCTTGAAGCCCACTATTCAGACAAAGATCTGACTGGACAAAAAATAATACTAATGAGGACTGTGCTTCTTAGTTTAATCAGATACACGAGACCAAATGGGCAGCTCCTCTCTGGAGGCAGGATAAGAAGGCAGGGACAGGAACTGGTTGAATGAACACAAGAAACCTGGGGTGGAAAGGGGGACTGTGCTGTCACATTGTAGGGATTGCAACTCATGTCACCTAATAATGTCTGTATAAATTTTTGCATGAGGAATTAACTTGAGCTATAAGCTTTCACCTAAAGCACAATTAAAAAAAAAAAAATCAGTAGGTAATGCTTATGTTACATGACAGTGGGTTTGTTAAGAGAAAATGGAGATGTTCACAGGGCCATATTATACACTGAATTTTACTGGTTGACAACATACTACTACTTTGATGTATTAGCATTTGAGTCCAGTTTGAAAAAAAAATGCCTTAGTTTGAACAATTCAAAAGGATACGATTATATCTCATTTGGTTGTTTTTAAACCAAAATAGTTAAACTTTGTCAGAGGACATCACTATATTAACACAAATACGGTTTACTTTTGAGAATTACTCAAATAATGCACTGGCAAGAATTATTCATATAATTCATTGCAAATATACATTTCATTTATTTTTTTAAATGATGTAAATTATCTTGAGGTCTAATAAAATCGTATTTTAAAATTTCATTTGCGAAGTCTTTTAGGGGCATCTTATTACCACTATGAAAAAGAGGTTGCTAATCTAAATAGATTATATATTTTTTAATTTAATGAGAAGCTTTTGTTGTCTCTTATATGGCATAACACTACGAACAATAAGAGTGTCATGCAGATGTTCATCTAAACTACAAAAAAATATCTGCAAAGAGTTTTATGCAAATAGAACTTATGTAAGAAAAAAGGTGTTGGTTGACACTATTCCAGCTAGACAGTACTGAAATACAGATTCACAAGTTGGGCAGAGATACGTAATACAGCCTCTTCTTTAGTCTTGAAGTGCTGTATTCATTTGAAATTCTTGTACACTTGAAGCCACCTTCTACATGTGAAACAAATTGCCAAGTTCTTTAACCACTTGTGTGGTTTAATAAAAGAGATTAAAATCTCTGTTGTGTTGGAAAGGTCAGGTGTTTTATTTTTAATTTTATTGTACTATCTCTAATCATGGCTTTATCTCATGAGTAAAGCAAAGTGATTTTCCAAACTATCCTTCTCCTTCTACTTTGTGCTGTAATATTTCCTTAACTTATTAAAAACAATTTATCATATTTTTCATTAAACTATTCCTTACTCCACTGTAAATACAAACACGGTATTTGTGCGAGTATTTCTGCCTAGATACACACAATACGTACACATTTAAGTGATAAGGTACTAAGTGTCTTGAGAGGTAAGTGAAAATTAACTGGAAATTAATCTTTCTTTAAAGAAAGGTTATTTTTTGTTCATGTTTGTTATTTTCCATCTTAAACATGCATTACTTTTTAAGAAATTAATAAATAAGGCCAAAGTATGTCTTCTGTCCCACAAAACAAAACAAACCATGAAGGAAAGGGCAGACACAGGTTTTATGGAGCCTGGAGTTATACAATTGGCAGGGTTTTTTAAGAAAAATAATATGAAATTATGAATACAATATTAGGTAGGCCCTTGGGAGTGGCCCATGCAAGTGAATGACTTCATAGCTTAAGCTTTAACAGTTTCATGGGAAATCACCTCTGTATGTAGAGATTCTTTGTGTTGAATCTTTTCCCAGTTACATTTGAAAATAAAATTGATGCTAGTTATATTTCTTTAAAGCATACATTATTTCTCAAAGACAACCGTTTATTTAATGCAGATTAGACAGTTTAAAAAATGTAAGATGGTAAGAATTTGACATTTCTGTCTTTCATTCTGAAAAGATACATTGATTAAAGTAACGTCAAACTCAAAAAAAAAAAAAAGAAAAAAAAAATGTAAGCCGACTTCAACCCATTCCTTTGTTGGTATATGCAAAATGATGAGTTTTTGCTATTGTGATGACTACAATGAACTATAACAAAAAATGACACATACTGGATTTTGTTCTCATATGTCTTCTTCTTAGAATATAAATCTTTCTTTGACTGGAAAGGAAGTACATTTGTTCTCATATTCCCATATGAAAAGGTGACATAATTCATTAATATACTGGATGCCTAAAATTAAGAAAAGAAATTATATAGTAATCTACTGGGCAACAAACTGGAGGTAGGTGGCTAGACAGATCCCCAGTATCCATGTTTATGTGGGTTACAGAAGAGGTGGTGGTAGAGATGTTTATAAAGGACATCTCTGAATTAAATTTAATCCAGAAATAGTTACCTCAAAGGCAGAATGGTTTGAATATCAAAGTATGCTGTACATAAACTTTCATTTTGCCCTTCTTTAGTCTAGCTCAGGGAGTCTCAAAATTAAATGTATATGCAAAAATCAACTGTATCTCTATATATCAGCAATGAACAAACTGAAAATCAAATTAAGAAAATAATTCTATTTATAATAGCATCAAAAAGAATAAAATACTTAGGAATAAATTAGTGCTTATACTCTGAAAACTATAAAACATTATTGAAAGAAGTTAAAGACAATGTAAAGACATCCTAAAATCATGGATTAGAAGGCTTACTATTGTTAAAATGGAATACTCCACAAATTGATCAACAGATTCAATGCAAGCCTTACAAAAATCCCAGCTGGCTTCGACACAGAAATTGACAAGTTGGTTCTAAAATTCGTATGGAAATTCCAAGGACAGAGAATAGCCAAACCAATCTTGAAAAAAAAAAAAAAGAACTGAGTTGAGGGATTGGGCTTTCTTTTTAGGGTGATGAAATGTTCTAAAATTAACTGTGGTGAGGGCTTATCTCAATAAAATAATTTAAAAAAGAAAATGAAAAAGAACTATTATAAAAATTAAATATACACAAGAATAACCAAATAGAGTTGCAAAGGCAAAGCTGTATATGTTGCAGCCACGTTTATTTTGACTCTAAATTACACTGTAATTTATAGATGATGTTGAGGATTTTCAAAGACAATTAGGACTATATATGATGTTCCCTTTATAAACTGAATCTAGACACGACTCCTATATATTTTAATGAAAATATAAATGTCCAAATTAGGAATAAACTCTAAAAGACTACAAATTTTAGTGAAATTCCAGAGTCCAATATTTTCCTTAAGAATAAGTGACTGTGCCTAAAAATATAAAGTTCATAGAAGAAAAAAT